TTTGATTTATTTTGTGTGTGTGTGTGTGTGTGTGTGTGTGTGTGTGTGTGTGTGTGTGTGTGTGTGTGTTTAAGCATGCAGCAGGGCTTCAGGCTTGTTAGTAAGTGCTTTTATCCACTAAGCCATCTCACTGGCTCCAAAACAACAGATTATTTTCAAAACTTCATGAAACTGAAAGAAGCAATATACAAAGGCCAGCAAAATTGCTGTTTCTCCAAGCTGAGTTCAGGACCTAAGTTCAGTCCCAGGGGAAGAAATAAATGCCTCTGTGAGTGTGTGTGTACACATACATACATACATACATACACTTATTTAAAGAGAAGGAATAAATATACAAATCCATCATTAGAGAAGGAAGCTCTAACTCTCAATAAAACAGGCAGAAATTGAGGGGAGACATAGAGGTCTACCACCAGCACTAAAATCTAATTAAGAACATTCAATCCAGTGTATATTCTCGTCAAGTTCACTGGCTAGTGCTGGGCCGTGAAGACAATCAAAGTGAAAACAATCAAATACTTAAAGCATGTAACTTACACTTTTGACTCAAATAGAATCAAATAAAACTAATTACTAGGTAGAAACCCTAAATTTTGAAAACTAAACAATATTTCTAAATGAGTGCTATTCTAAGACATACATTCCCTCCCATTTCCTGTCATACAACACCTACAATTCTTGCAGTCTACAGTCTTCCTGTCCACTCCTGAGCTGACGAATGGCTGGCAGCCCCTAAGCAGCTTCCGGATGGGTGTGTGTGCATTCGGGGATCAGGGGGCTGAAGGCTTAAGCAGATGCCTGGTATGTCTATGCACTGGAACTTCCATAAAAACTCAAAAGGACAGGGAACCCAGAAAGCCACACCTAGGAAGAATTCTGGAGGGTGATGAGCCTAGAGAGGACACGATTCCCTCCCTGTCCCTTGCCCTGTGGACTGCTTTACCTGGTGTACACACTGGTATTCTCTATAATACTCTTTTATCTTATGGGAACCTTGACTTATTGCCAATTACAAATCAGATGCACAAGCACAAAAACCTAGGACTTGCAACTGCACCAAAGAGGGCAGTGTTGGGACATCAGTCTGCAGCCCGTGGGAAATAACACTCCTCCAGATAGGCAAGTGTCGGAAATGGACTGAAGACTCGGAAATTCAGTCATCTGTGTTATGTGGGGAAAACCCTCCCCCATGTGGTCTGGGCGGTCTGTGCTGGTCGCTGAATGAATGTACAAAACAAACTGAGTTTGATTCTTTTATCTTCAGAATAGTCCAAATACTAAATTCCTTAAATTACCAGGTAAATCATGAAATATTTTAGAATAAAAATGAAAATGTAATGCACAAAGTTTATAGGATTTGTCTAAGGCAACACATGAGGGCAAATGTATAGCCCTGATGTTTATGTTAGAGATGAAGAGTCTAAAGTTCGTGCAGATTTAAACAGTGATGTGCAGAGGGACATAAAGAGTGAAAACAACTGAAAAATAATAAAGAACAACCGAGGAAGCCAGAGTTAGTTCCTGGGAAAGATAAATTCATTAAGTACCCAGCAAAACTAAACAAGATAAATGGGACATGGGGAGAATATTTAATACATGGAAGAAGTGAAAACTATAATATCACAAGGACTACTACAACTGACTAATTTTATAACCGTAAATTCAACTCAGGAAAGCCAATTAATCTTGCATCTATGAAGAAAATTTACCTAATAATCTAAAACCTTCCCAGAAGAAAAATGCTAGGTTCTGGAAATTCTACAAAAAAAAAAAAAAAAAAAAAAAAAGTGAAAGGAAGAAACCCCACACAAACCTTTAAAATAGGAAACATATCCCAAATCACACCAAATCCACCACAATAAAGGAAGGTCATAGACCAGTTAGTGTCCCTTAGGAGCACAGATGCAAACTTCCAACAAAATGTCAGCAAATCACACTCATCAATGTAGTAAAAGTATACCACACCATTACCAAGAAGATTTCGTCCCACAAATACAGGTTCATCTGACACCTGAAAACTGACTTCACAATATTACTGCAATGATGAAGGGGGGAAATTATAAACACTGGACAGTTCACAAGTTCTAAGATGGGAATTTCTATTTCTACTCTCAAATAGTGACTCTATGTATTTTTTTTAAACTATGAATCAATATGGCATGATTCCATATTCAAGTTTTATACAGGGCCAAGTGTGGAAATTATATCTCAAAAGAATTACAGGGCATGTATTTTGAGCACAGACTTGTGTGTCAGATTGCTGGGCTCAAGTCAACATCATTCAACAGTCTCCTGGCAAGCTACCAATCTCTACTTACACTTCCTCGTTTGTACAATGGACACATAATGGTACCCAGGTACCAGGTAGTTATATTTAAGTAAAGCACACAGAGCAGGGCCAGGCATGGAGTGGAGTGAGCACTGAGTGAGTATTTGCCATGACCACATCGAGGATGCTTCTTCAGTGATGAGAGGGGAAATAGAGACCTGCAACCATAAAACAGTACAGCTGAGACTCCCTGAGAGTTGAGCACAATGGACATAGACATTACAGCCACAGGATCACTCTGTTATTCCTTAACCTTCAAGTTTGAATCACTCAGCCAAGGACCACAAAGGTCAGGTGAATCAGAACGTACACAGTCAATTTTCTGCCAAGGAATGAGGACACAGAGCCATTTATATTTTTATATTTATATTTTTTCTCTCAGCTAATTGTCATATGGTCATATAATGTTCACGAATTCAAATCAGTTCCAACTACAGCTATGCTATCCTTTTAAATTAAGATCATTCTTTGGTTTGTGGCATTTTAAACCAGTTCTCAGTTTGGGTCTCTAATCATAGCTAAGCCAGTTTAGAGAAAAAAAAAAAAAAGTTGAAGGGAGCTGTACTGTATGAAGCCAGGAAAAGTAGCAGAGTAAACCACCTGAAACACTCCTTATTCATAAATCTGGCAGCCCCAGATTCAAGCATAACCTCTCCACTGCTTTAGCCTTGCTCGAGGGGCCCTCTTTTAACCTGTCTAGAAGACAATTACCACGAGACATCTGGTAATGACTGGATGGTTTAATGAAGCTGAATCCAAACTACATGAAACAATTCTTAAGATCTAAGAGTACCAAACAAAGGCTTTCTCCTTAAAGCAGGAGCCTTTAAATAGTCGAAATAAATTCACACAAAAATCTGATACATATTTGTCTGCTGCTACTATAAAAGCAGCTATGTATCCCTTTCCTGTTAAGGAAGACAGCAAAAGACACAAAGCAGGGGCTACAAGGGAACCCAACATAGTTGGCTTCTTTCTATTACTAAGTCCCCAAACCTAGATTTTTACACAGGTTCTGCTATACACTAGTGCTGACAAACTTATACTCCCTAATCCCCATAGACCGAAGGTGTGAGATCTCAAAGACTTCCAGCTTCTTTTCTTCCTTTCAATTTAAAAATGCGGCAGTCTCAAATTGAAAACCAGAGTATGCAAAGTATTTACTAAATGTTTCATCTCCAGAGGGAAAGAAGAAAGCATTAGTTCAACTTGTTTTTATGGGATTCATTAAGCTGTTAATAGTTTTTTTTCCTTACCATGTTATAAATACAACTGATATGGAGGAAATGTAATATGTGTTTAAAGAATAACCCCATCTACCTATCAGTATATGGGAAACAAGAGTAAGAAACAAATACTGTTTTTTTTAAAAGTAAATACTTTTTTTTTTTTTAAGTAAAAGAAGGCAACCATCTGTTAAGGAATACACTGATAAAGCCCAAGTAGCTTATATTTCAAAATCCAAGTAGCTTTTAACTACCAGCAGAGCCCATAGCCCATTAATAGCAAAAGATTCCCATGTCACAGATAGATACATAAACACCAAGTTTTGTATTGAAGCCTACCTCTTCCTTAGTCTACATCCTCCAATTACACAAACACTGGTTATCTCAAAGACCTGCTAACTTCATCCAGTTACATTTCCTTCATTCTACATGAACACTTTTATCTCTTACTCTTAACCCCAGCTCCTACTTTGAGCACACACCTTCTCCATCACAAACACGTGAACTCTCTCACAGTAGGAAAGGCCTAAACACAAATACCAAGCAGGACCAGGTTTTGCCAACTATGGGACATTGGTTTATTCACTAAGCACAAACTACATTATTGATGCAAATCCTGGATTAAAACTATACTGCATCAGATCAACAGCCTATCACAACTTGAGTTGTGGCCTTAAGAGAGAGAGGCTGCAGGAGGGTGAACTGGCCAAACATACTATCATACTTAAAAGTAAAGCCTGGGCATCACTAACTAACTTCTCAGGCAGAATCTTGAAAGGATTCCATTTCTTCAATCCTTTAAAACAGGTATGTGAGGACTGGGATGATGACTCAGAAGGTAAAGTGCCCACCACACAAGCCTGCAGACCCGAGCTCTAACCGTCAGGAAAAGGCTGGGTGAGGTGGCATACACTGTAACCTCAGTAAGCTCTGGGTTCAGTGAGAGAGATACTATCTCAAAAAGTAAGGTGGGAAGCAATTTAGAAAGACAGCCTTACATATCCACATGTATATACCCACATGCATGTACAAAGAGCATACACACACAAACACACACACATAGTAAATAAATATATAATGCAAGCACAAGTGTGGGGCCACTATGCGTTCCAAGTGAGATAACTTAATAAACATGTTCTATAAACAGCACTGTGCCCAACAGATTTACATTTTATTTTATTTCATTATTTTTTGAGACCAGGTTTCATGAAGCCCAGGCTGTCCATAAGCTCACTATACAGCTGAGGGTGTCCATAACTTCTGATCCTCCTGAGTGATGGGATCGCTATTCATCTCCTAAGTGTTACAGACATGACAAGGGGCCTTGAGGGGTCCTGAAAGGGGACAGTATGTTGCATGCTGGATGCTACCACTGCACAGCATGAACCACAGGCAAAACGCAACAAGGAGCCGCACCCTGCCTTACCTTCTGGTTCACTCTCTGACCCAGAAACACTGCCGTAGCTGCTCATCAGCGAACACAAGGCTGGTGTCACCTCCTTAGGTACTACAGTCCTTTGTGGTTTCTCTTCCTTATCAGACTCTGCAACAGAAGGGAAGAACAATGATTCAGAGAGGGTAGCCTAGACGGCCGCACCATTACAAAGCAAGCTGACTTCTCCTCATCTGTAAGTGAGATAAAAAGAAGTCACTTCTGATGATTTCTTTCTTCTTTTCCCTCAACAATTCTAGGAGGGATAAAAACGTTGTCCTTGTTTTGAATCTTAAGATGAGAAGTTCTTTACTCGAGGGGAGACAGAGATACAAACTTAACTGTACACAGCCCTAGATAACTTATCATGCTTTATGGGTTATGAAATTTGGGCCTTTCCTAAATTAATTTCATTTACACAGTCTCTATTAACTTACATAGTGGGAAAGCCAAAACACTCACTGAGTGTTATTGAGCCAAAATCATTAACTCTGAAAATTAGATTTAGGAATATAAAAATTCTACTTGTTTTTTTTTAAACTTTAAAAGACTATTTTACTTTCTTAAAGTAATTTTTTTATTTAAATTAAAAACAATCTTATTTTACATACCAATCCCAGTCCCCTCTCCCTCCCGTTCTTCTACTCCCCCTCCCACTCCCATCAACTCCTCAGGGAGGGTGAGACCTCCCATGAGGAATCATCAAAGTCTGTTACATCATTTGGGGCAGGACCCAGGCCCTCCCCCGTATCTAAAATTCTACTCTTTCATTGTTTAATATTTAAATAAATCAAACACTTAAGCATTCTCTGGACTCAGTCAAAGAGTTCATTTAAATGAATCTAACCAAAACATCTAAGAACTTAATTCAGCAAACAACATGAGAATATGGCAAGTACTGAAGAGCCTGCCAAAGGTGAAGGGTTTACCGGCAACCCAGAAAGCCTTCTGAAAGCCCCAGGACACCACCTCTTTTGTTCATTTTTGGCAGTTCTAAAACATTAGCACTGATCTAGACAAGCCATGAAAACAAAGCTGGACTGTCTATTTAATGAACCAATCTGGTCCACAACCAATATGAAATGTTTCAAGACTGAGCATTCAGTATTCATTAAGCCAGTCTAGGCAAACCAAAACATGTCATTAGGAAATCTAAGTACCTTTTCATGTGAACGTCGGCCATGTACCTCCACATATGGTACACATCTCTAAGTGGACGTAGTACCACCCACATCAAAGGTTCTTACAGGAAAGAACTAATGTATCTAAAGCACACGGAGCACAGCAAGTACCTTACTCAGTAAGTATTAGCTGTGCTTAACCCAACTTCCACTGTGCCAAGATTCTTTTCCAATCTAACTTAGTCAGTGAATGGCAAGTGAATTAGCCAACCCCTCATACTTAATGGATTTGAATTTCCCAGAGGGCTATGATAATGCTAGCATGACTCTGTGTGTGCACGTGCACCCCCTTGCACATATGTTATTTTCTCAGTTAGCTTACCAGAGTCACTGTGTATCAAAGCACCGAGAGGGTCTACATTAACCACGGATGGAACTTGAGGCTTCGAATTTCTGGCATGATTGCCTAGTCTAGTGCCTGCTCTCTGTCTACCATTTTTCCATTTACGATGTTTACCGGGACTTCTTATCTTTGCCATCTGTGAATGTCTGGACATGCCCTTCATTTTCCTGGGATAAGAAAGGAATGGAACAAAAGAAACACGGAGTTAAGTTGACCACCAAGACATTAAAGAGACCAAAATACAAGAACTACCCAAAGACAAGAGCTGTCTATATTGTCTATATTTAAAGGCCCATATGCCACAGCAGACATCCTATTCATTTCCAACTACAAGTGTTCACGAGTGTTTTGAGCCCTGAAATCAGGCCATGTTGTGCCATTGTTGGCAGATCTTAGCTAGCAGCATGCACATACTATACATAAACCTGTGTCTATGTTTACAAAACTCTTATCTACTCAATTTAAGGAGCTTCAAAGTTTGCAAAGCATTTATAAGTATGTCACCTTCAGCAGAGCCTCTCTACAAGAAACATTCAGGTCCTACAAGCAGAAGACAAATGATGGATCTACACACAACAATGAATACCTAAATAGGAAGCATTTGCTATTGCTAGTCATTAGCCACCCAGTCCTCAACTGTGACTGAGCTGTGGCACAGTCAGCTGATGTGCCTGACACCAACTGACCCAAAATGCTGGTGACATGTACTTCCTATTATTATTTTTTAAAGGACACGATTAAGAGAACAAAGGCAAGAAAAATTAAGAGGTGTATCTCTAATGTATACAAGCCACTCCAAGATAATACATATGTATGCAACCAAGTAGATAACTCCTGAAAATCAAGGACAACAAGCCCTTTGAGGCTGGAGTGGTGGCTTAGTAGTTAAGAGCACTTCCTTCCTTTCCAGAGGACTAGAGTTCAGTTCCCAGAACCCACACTGGGCAGTTTACAATCGCCTATAACTCCAGCAGCAGAGATCTTATACCCTCTTATGGCCTCCGCAGGCACTGCACTTATGCACACAATCCACCTCCCACACGCACACACATAATTAGAAAAAAAAGCTTAAAAACGGTCAAACACACTTGAAGTGGCACTTCAGCAAAAGAATATCTACATAAGATGCTCAATATTGTTAGCAACAGTACCAAGGGCTGAGCAATATACAGAGTAATCAGACGCAGTGAGAAGTCTAAATTACTTCAACCACTTGGCAAACTATTAGAACTAATCATAAATAAAAAACCTATGACATACCATCCGGTACATGAAAATGAACATTAATAGCCACAGAAGACATGTACAAGAAATGTCCATAGGAGTCTGAATCATAACAACCCAAACTGAAAACAAGTCATTATCTACCAATAAAATACCTCTCACAGTTGAATTCTATATAGTAGTATGAATAGATTTACAACTATACACAGCATGGATGTATCTCATAAAATAATTTTGAGACACAGAAATCAATGTATTCAAGAATGTATAATGTATGATTTCATTTACATAATTCTAATAACAGGAATAACTTGTGATAATAAAAACAAGAATGGGGTTGACATTTATGGAGAAACACTGAACAGGACAGGGTTTTAGAGAGCTTGGTGAAGTAAAGACATAATGTATATCAATCTATGTGGCAGGTACATGGATGTGTATAGCCTTGTGTGTGTGCGCGTGCGAGTGTGGCAGATAGACAGAGACAGAGAGAGAGAGAGTACAAGTGAGAGATTAAGCACTCATCAAGGTGTGGTGGTGGCACACACCTTTAATCCCAACACTCAGGAGGCAGAGGCAGGAGGATCTCTGTGAGTTTGAAGCAGCCTGGTCTATAAGAGCGAGTGCCAGGACAGCCTCCAAAGCCACAGAGAAACCCTGTCTGGAAAAAAAAACAAAAAACAAACAAACAAAAAGATTTGTATATTTAAATCATGGAGCCAGTAAAAATGGAAAAATTATGAACAAAAAGTGAGAGTAGAGGGCAAGGAGGCCTCACACATTACTGACACGAGAACACGGTACAGCAGCCATGATAGATCCAACTTTTTATTAATAAGCAATGGGCTGACAGCTTGAATGCCAATAGGGAATTGGCTAAAACAAGTGTGTGGAACATTCTTAATTATGCTTCTTATACATCCCTAAAACAAACCCTCTCCAGGGAAGATTTTGATCATCTGAAAAAGCTCAGGTCAGATAGTGCCACCACAGGAGGGACTGTCCTATCATACCATCCCTGTGCTGTAAAAAGAAGGTTCTCTGGGAAGACCAGCAGGGAGACAAGGACGGGAAGGACTTGTTCAGAATCTATCACATGTGTAGAGGGTAACAGGATTTTAAAATATCATTAAAAAGAATTTTAAAGCAAGAGCTAGAGAGCACAATTTCGGAATGGGCAGTACACGCTGCTATTTCTTTTCTCACTCTGTAAACAAAAGCTTTTAAAGTACGTGGAGAATGCCCTCACAAGCAGCTCTCATAACTCACCCATACTGTGTGGTCGTCAACACTTCTCCTCTCTTTTCCTTTTCAAGTTGCAACTTTTTCTTCCTTTCAATATTGGCCAGAGTTGGGTAGTTTCTAGAATAAAAACAATAAAGTTTTTATAAACTTTTAATTACTTCTAAAATGTAAGAGAAAAATGCAGTTTATAAGTCAATGTTACTCACAGTTGTCCACAAACGCTGCAACCAGGTAAGGAGTGTATGCTAGAATTTCAATTACATAATTCATACAACATATACAAATTGCTCTAACATCTGTTTATCATGTACCCATACACAAAGAAACAACCTGCCTAGCCAATTACTTTTGCAAAATACATGCTATGCTGAGGAGGCCAGGAAAAGCCTAAGAACAGCTGCACCTAAGACAAAGTATAGTTAAACACCAGGAGAGTACATTTTTCTTTTGGATGGGGTGAGATAATTCAAAATAAAGAGATCCACAAAGAAAGGGACACAAAACCAACTGGTCTGAAATGATGCTAACAGACAACACTCAAGTGGAAAAGCGTGTAATTTGTTCTAAGTAAACCAATACAAACAAGACCAGAGACAGAGGACCACAACCCAGGGAATTACTTTAAATGAAACGTAATTTAACCAAAGGGAACGGAACTACCAAAGAATGTTCATCCCAAAACATGCCTAGAAAGTTTGTACTCAATCCAACAGGTGACAACACAGAAGAACAGTTCTAGAGGCTGGAGAGATGGCTTAGTGGTTAGTAGACTGCTCTTCAAAGGACCCAGGTTCAATTCCCAGCATCCACCTAGTCTCTAGGTCCTAGTGGCTCACACTATCTGTAACTCTTATTTTCCTGGGACCCTACACTCTCTTCTGACCTCCCTGGGCAACAGATACACACATGGTACAGAGATATACATTCATACATAGGCCTTTAATACCAGCATCCAGGAGGCACAAGCAGACGGATCTGTGAATTCAAGGCCAGCCTGGTCTCCAGAGAGAGTTCCAGTATAGCCAGGGCTATGAAGAGAGATCCTGCCTTGAATGAATGAATGAATGAATGAATGAATGAATGAATGAATGAGGTTCTAGGAATACAGGTGGCTAAGAGTGAGAGATCTGACAGTCATGTGCAAACTGAATGGCTTTTCTTGTTTGCTGGCACAGATGTATAGAGATGGCAGCCCTAGAATCTGACAATGAGAAATAAATCTTCACAGCATAGAAAACACGAAAGAGGGGAACGCAGCTCTCATCACTCAGGCTGGTGCTCATCAGAAACATCAACAAGAGTTCTACCACTTTTTCTAAGACATTTCTCTACCTTCTTTTAAACGTGTAATACTGGACTGGGGCTATAGGTCAGAGGGAGAAAGCTCAGCATGCACAGGCCCTAGGGACAACCATTAGTATCCCTAAAATAACATCTGCATCACTGACTCAAGCACACGCAACGACTCCTGCGGGTTAGTTATCCTGAAGAATGGAAATGGCATTGGTTAGCGTTGAAAGAATCAGGGGGAAAAGGCAATGAATTTTAGTGCAAAGCATGTACCACAAATAACCTCCATAAATAAGAGATGATGACTGCACATGCTATAAATAAGTGTAATAGGAAAAGAGCAAGGTCAACAAGATGAGAATCTGATAGCAGCACATACTTGAAAAAGCAAACATGACCTAAGGCTACACAAAGTAGACTTGACATTTGGATGAGTGTAAAATCTTCCCTGATACTCAAAAATGGTCAGACATTATCAGGATACTTGTGTCAGTTTGGTGGAGAAGCAATGCTCAGGCAAACAAACTTGGAAGGGGCTCAAAAGAGACTCAAAGACGATTAAGAGGGTGAAAACTAAAACCTCTGAAGAAGGATAAAAGGAACTATTGCTGCCTGTAGCAGATGAGAAGTGATTATAAAACAGCCTATGGGGGGCTGGCCAGCAGCTGTTCTCCACCTGAAGACAGAACACAGAGAAGCAGGAATGGTAAGTAGTGTGTGACGATGCTCACAGGCCCTGTGGTGGCCAGGCATGGAGCTCAGAGCACTTAACACCCTCCAAGCAAAGGGGGACAGTCCATGTAAAAACAGACAAACATTACTAGGGGAATCAGTTATGTCTTAGAGTGTGTAGTTCCATGCAGATGTGACTTAGTGCAGGGTCTCCTGCTACAGAAGAGCGCCGGGAAGCTACACACTTCAAAAGGCATGATTTTCAGCACCTCTCTCTCTCTCTCTCTCCCTCTCTCTCCTCTCTCTCTGTGTGTGTGTGTGTGTGTTTTTAAAAATCTACAATCTCCCCTTCTCCTGTACTTTTCCTCACTATCCTAAGTAGACTGCACCTGACACCAGACACTCATTTCTGTCTCCTGTCCCTGTGTCCTTCCCTCCTTCCCTCCCTCTCTCCCTTTCTTTCTTGGTTTTTCAAGAAGATTTACTCTGTGTAGCCCTGGCTGTCCTAGACCTTGCTCTATAGACCTGGCTGGCCTTGAACTCATAGAGATCCTCCTGCCTCTACCTCCTGAGTGTTGGGATTAAAGGTGTGCAGCACCACTGCTCAGCTGTCCTTGTGTTTCTGACCTCTGACTTGTCCCGGCCTATTCCCTGGGTCTCCAGTGATGTCCTAATGGGGCAGAGACCACCTCTGGATAAAACTATGGCAACTGTTACCTCTGCATGTATGCATGATCCAACTTTCTCCTTATTCATATTGCTTTACTGATGTCTTCTCCTAGGCCTATTCGCTACAGAACACAATTCCTCTTTGCTCTCATCAAAACAAACCTCTCTGACACAAGCTTATGCCACTGTATTTTAATTTCAAAGTCTTCCTGGACGTCATTAAGGGCAGACCACTTCTGCTGAATGTCCCTGTGAAGTGGGAACAGAATTAGCAATGATGAAACAGAACAGCTCCACCTAGTGGACTTCTGCCTCTCTGCTCAGGAATGAAGAATCACCTTGCTTTGCTTTGTTGGGGGAAGCTTTAGTTTTAAACACAGAGGGCATCGCCAACTTTGGCTAGTCTGAAAAAAACAAAAAGATGAAGGGATAAAGGCAAAGGTGTAATTTCTTCAGCACTTTTTTCTGGCTTTAAATTCTGAGTCTAGGGATTCTAGAATAGCAAAGAACAAACCGGCTAACTCAAGAAGAGCAGCTCTCACAAAAACAGTAACATTCAAACTAAGAATTTGGCTGTACCATTGTGGAATTCACTTTTTAGGATACATTCTTCAAAAGCTAAGCCTGAAGCAATATAATTATACATGTTTGTATGAAAATACCTGTATGTGACACAGTATGATGTGTGTGTGTGTGTGTGTGTGTGTGTGTGTGTGTATGAATGAATGAATCAATGAATGAATGAATGAAATATAAAGATGAAAAAAACTGGGGCTAGAGAGATGGCTCAGCAGTTAAAGCACTGGCTGCTCTTCCAAAGACCCAGGTTTGATTCCCAGCAGCCACATGGTAGCTCATGACCTACTGTAACTCCAGTTCCAGGGGATCCAACACCCTTATCTGGTCTCCTTGGGCATGCAAGTGAGCACCAAGCATGCAAGAGAGCATGAAATACTCTTGCAAGAGGTTATAACATGCATGCAGGCAAAACACCCATACGCATACACATAAAATAAAAACTAAAATTCTTTCAGCTCTTTAAAAATATTATTTTTAAAATACTAAAAATTAAACAAATGTCGGGCGTTGGTGGCACACACCTTTAATCCCAGCACTGGGGAGGCAGAGGCAGGCTGATCTCTGTGAGTTCGAGGCCAGCCTGGTCTACAGAGTGAGTGCCAGGATAGGCTCCAAAGCTACACAGAGAAACCCTGCCTCAAAAAATAAAATAAACATAATCAGAAGCAGAGGCAGGCAGATCTCTATGAGTTTGAGGCCAGTCTGGTCTACAAAGCAAGTTCCAGAATAGCTAGGGCTGTTACACAGAAACTCTATCTCAAAAAACCAATAAAATAAAATAAAATAAAATAAAATAAAATAAGAACATAAATCTAGAAATAATATAATTTCATAATTTAAAAAAACTAAATGAGAGTATATGTCTTAGAAATCTATCAAATGAACCAAAAACAAAGAAAATGTTTCCCACATTCCTTCCTTCCTGCCAATCCATCCCACCTCTCTCTCTATTATTTGCAGATGGGCCCAAGGTCAGTCTTCCCACCCCAGCCTGCTGCACACAGGACATACATGCCCACACTCTGGTCCCATATCCTACTAATGAATATCTCACCAACACTTCTGAGTATGTAAAAGGACAAGAACCTGAGAAGTAAAAGGTGAAAGAACCCCAAAGAAATTAAAAGGTGCTAAAAAATGCTTCCAGAACACTCACTAGCAAGGCAACATCACAGGTACAAATTAACTTCACCCCAAATTGCCACTCCCATGTCCTCAGGTTCAAAGGCGGTAATTCCATTTCATGACTCAACACTTGTGCCTGCTCCTTTCCTAGCACTTGTGAATACTTGCAGCCTGCACTTTGGAAACCAGAACCAGATACACCCGTGTTCCATGAGGAATGTTACCAGTGAGCGGTAAACCTTGCTCTCACCCGTCCTTTATTCAAGAGGATCAGGCTTTGCTTAGAAAAGCAACAAATTTAAAAGTGTGCACCACACAGAAACAGGGGCACATTCTCCCTCTTGGCAATTTTGTTCGGGGGACAGTCTATCAACTCCACTGCCACTAAAGACCATTAAACAACCCATTTCTAGAGGTCTGTATAGAAATCTACTTAAGGTTGAAACATAGCTATTGCTTTCCTAATGAAAAGCTGAAAATCAGGCTGTATTTTTTTTTTCCTATCCTGTCTAGAATGTGGGAGTAATATAAGTATAGATGCAAACCTTCTGACAGGCAAAATCAAAACAAGGCACTGAAGAACAGTAAAAACAGCTTACCCAGTGGTGCCATCAGCAGAAACAGCGCCTTCAACTTGTTGTTTACCAGAGAGGATGGGGCACTTTGCACTAAGCTATGGAGGCAAGAGCGCTGCTCCATTGTCTGGAGAGGAGTCACTGATGTCAACCCCTCCTTCTCTCTGCCAGACCCTTCGCTCTGAATGCTTCTCCTGGTCAACCAGC